CACCCATAAAATGATAACATCACTCTGGGTATACCTTCCTGGTAACTGGTTCATCATTAATTCCTTATGTTGAATCAGTTTTCAATTCTAAACCTAGAACTGAAATGTTCCTTATAAGTGATGTTGAGGGTGAGACCTTTGTTGTGAAAATATTTTGAAAATATAAAAAAAGAAGTTTATTAATTCCATTGTATGTGTTTATTAAAATTAATGATAACCACTTTCAGGTTATGATTTCCAAAGTAAAACAAGATATTTATCCTTCGTATCACAACATTTCGTCATTGACTAAAGTTTTTATCCTTAGTCTTAGCGCTCCTCTAAACCAGCTCTTCGAAACAGGTGTTTCCTCGTCCACGAATACCTTTTATCACGAAGAACTTTATTTTTCAAGTACTTATAACTACATCTGAWGAATTCCAAYGGAATAAATTTATGTTAAAATCTAATATAGATTACAATTGTCCCAGTTGAGGAAGCAATAGTTGATTGTAATATTAATATGTCTAGCTTCGAATATTTTATTACTTTGAAAGCGAAAATCTAGCACGGCCGAACTTCAAATTCAATGGCCATTTGCAGTTACTTACAACAGATATTAATGAGTAAAAATATCATAATTTTAAGCTTATCTCTGTTGATCTGACCTTATTTTTGACCAAAACGTAAACATGACCTACATCAATTTATTTCACAATTGTCGACTTTTGTACCAAAAAGTAATTTAGTGTATCTCGATAACCATCATGTTGACCTCATTCTAAACATCACTGCCACCCTCTAAGTACTTTTTGAATTACACTATGACTGATCAATTAGATATTTTGGTTACCAGTAAGCTGTAAAAATTATTCAAAGTCGCAGGTTTTTGAAGCACGAATACTGCTAGAGCGTCCGCCATTTTGTTTTTGGGATTTTCGCGCATGCGCACGCGTTTTTAAGCCGTGTCAGCTCCGCTTTTAATTTAGTCAGCGCCTAAATTTTTTTCTTTTTTTTTGGTATTTACTTAATTCTTGGTGTGTGATCAGTTGAATGAATCTCATTACCAGCTTTCAGTAAATATGTCAAAATACTAAAAATTATTAACAAATGATATATCGAACAATTATGGCCTGTTAGGTGCTGACGTACTCTTTTCAAATTCCCTTCCGTTCCTCTCCTTCTTTACTAGAAGCAGCAGAGGACGGAATTTGAAGAGGTCTTAGGTAGGTAGAGCAAACTCAGAGGAAATAAAATGAAAAAGGGAGTTTCCTATACTGTCTCCATTCAGGCTTGCTTTGCTATAACCCACGCAGGATACTGTTCACGTTGAGACAGCTTATTCTGTAAGTACTTTATAAGGCTATTTTTTCATAGTTAGTTTTTAATCCCCTTTCTCGAACATTTGTAGTAAGCTAATTTTAATTTCCATAACACAACTATTGTTCAGTTGGTGACCAGATGTCTAAATCACTGAATTCCTCTGTACGACTGCTGACAGCTCAGTTATTGATATTTACACATTTTGAACTCTGTTTCCAGAATTGCCAAGTGATCAAAGATACACACGCTAAAGCGGCAAGCTTGATGTTGCCTATCATCACTTGGCAATTCCTGGTCTCTGATAAACAGCTAGCTAAGCTGGTCGTTTGCATCAAAAAAGCGGGATGCAGGCTATCATCATGTCCAATCGAGGGATATTTTGCTTAATTCAAACTAAATTCAATTAAAGTGAGAGCAGAATTAAGTTTGTACATGAAGGCGTTCAGTTTTAAATCGATAGCCCCATGGATGTGTTATTCCATGAATTGAGTCAGTCTTCACATTAACTTAAAACCATCCATGAGACGGATAAAAAGACCTACATAATCAAAGGAAGATCACAGAAGGTATTCTAACAAGATCATAAACCTAAAAATGGGTAAGTTTAAAAACTGTTATTGTTTTCTTTTATTAACTCTATTTACTGACTTATTATCAGAAGCTGATGACATCATTTTTGGCAATGACTGACGTGACTCATAGCTTTTCTTGATCAAAATCCAACTAAAAAGAATGGCTTTCTTTTACCGTGTAAAGTAAAATAACGATATGAGTATAGGTTTGTTACAGCACGAGTAAAATATGCCGTAATTCTTTTTAGTAATGAAGTAGATAGTTCAAAAGACATTTACAAAACCTTTATAATCAGGTGAAGTTTACCGTAGCTACGAAAAAAATTAGAACTCAATAAAACGCAAAAAAAATCTCCAAACTGGTCCCAGAGAATAAAAAGCCGTCTCCCTTTAACTTTTGACTCGCGAATTTGGATTTGTTTGTTTACTAATGTCTTAAACTAAGCTCCTTCGTTTGACAGTAGCAGAGACCGCTTTTCAAACTCTCAAATTCACAAAGAAATGATGCATTTCGTAATTTTCAGTTCAAGAATCCAAAATTATGGCCCTTAACTAAATGTATTTTAAGTGAATTGATCAAGCTGGAGACACTAATCAAAGAAATGGAATGCATTAATAACGAAGTACAAAAGCAAACAACGATAGCGTTTTCATGCAAATTTTTCCAAAGTGCTACACTTGAATTGAAAGTAGCTTAATTTGTTTAAGTTTTGTGTGGTTAAGTTCATGAGCTGTTACGGCAAATAGCGCAACCAATGATTGCTTAATTCAGCTGACCGGTAAGTTCTCGCAATATTGTGATAAACAGAAGAGTATTATTATTAGATTGATTGGTAATTCGCCGCGATTCCAAAGTCAAAAGCACATCACATTTCAATGAAATTTGTCATATTTGTAATCTTCACAAAGTAAACGAAAACTTCAAAAGCTTGCCGTGATTTATCTATAATTTATAGATGCTGTCTTTCTAATTATTGCTTTAGGGTGTTATTAGAGTACAGTGGGCTAGCGCTAGGCTAAAACATGTGCCAACTTGCATACATACAAGCGTGTGCAGTTATCTGACTATTGAGCAATGCTTTGTTTATTTAGTTGATTTGTGACGACTGTAGGTCTTTAGCAACATTTAATATATATAAACGATTCGGTGTATACGCACCTTGTTCGCCAATATTTCATGTTGAACCGGTTAAATGTTAAGAAAACGTGATTGGAAATCTTTATTTTGGAGAATAGCAGCATTTTACTATATCCACAGGTCTCAGCAGAGTTGATGAACTAGAAGCCAAGTACTCGGAGCTTGAAAAACTTTACCAAGAAACCGTCCAAGCACGAGACGAGGCGATAGAGGAAAGAAACAGAGCAACTGTGGTTCTCGCTTTTCAGCTTGAGAAAGAAACAGCTGAGCTAGCAAATCACATCGAAGACTTGAATAAGAAGAACACGAGTATCTTGGATGAGAACGAAGATCTTTCTATAAAGCTTGAATTCGCTCGCAGGGACTTACAAAACTTACAGGTGACTCAGGGAATACTTGATAACACGTTATACTTTTTTGGTTGAGATTTTATTTGTTTTCTTTCTTTTTTCTTCAGAAAAAGCACATAAAGTTACAGTTGGAAAGTGAGCAGCACATTTGTGAAAGGGACAACGCGATTGAGAAAGTAAACGAGTTTGAAAAGAAGAATAGGCTGTTAAAAGAAGAGGTTGATGAGCTGCTGGTGAAGTTAAACAACACTAGGACAACAAGCGAAAGCAACAGCAATAATAGTATTCTAATACACCCTACTATTACGATCACTAACTGCTGTAGCGTCGAAGACAAAAGGTCGGGGAATATCGATACCAAGAACCATAACGAGAACGAAAGCAGCAGCAAAAATGACGACAGCAACTTAAACAGAGTAAGTTATTCAAGCGAGAGCAAGAGCAGCTTATCTTCTACAAATAACCAAAACAATAACAGCGGACATATTAGCAAAATAGAGATAAATAGCAGTCCAGTAGAAAGGAAGAGTACTTCAAAGGAGAACAATAGCATATGCTATAATACAAAGAGTAAGAGAAGCAGCAGCAACAACGACAGGAATAGTATTACTGCCACCAAAACCAAGAATAGGAACGATCCAGTTGTTGACATTAGTTTACATTCTTTATTTGACAAAGAAAAAGGTATTAATCATAACATCAGCAGTGAAACTATTGGTAAAGACAAAGAAAGAAACAAAGCTTCAAGTGATAGGAACACGAACGACGTCATGAATGGTAATCTTTATCCACTTGGAGGACTGGGATTGAGTATTAAGAAGTTTCAAGGATTAATATGCATTAATATAATTAAAAGATAATTCCCATGACGAGAAAAAGCACAACAAAGTTAAGAGGTTTCTGCAGTTAAAAAATGTATGTTTACTAGGGACAATCACCAGTAGCCATACGTTTCTTTGTCATTTCTGAGAATAGGAGGGTTGCTACAATATATTATACCGAAAATCCTCAGACCCCAGAAATTTCTTAATTTTGATGAACTATTTCTTGTTATGGTGTTTTTATGGTGTTAATTCTAAAAACTCATTTCCAGTCCTCAACTCGTTTTTAAAGTGGGCAATTGTCCTTTCTCAATTAATGTTGATGTATGTAATATATAAAATATTCACTGCGCATGATTAATATTTTTCAACAGAAGAGCCAAAGCAGGATTCTAGACTGACAATCACACTGAAAAAGAACGCAATAGAAAACGAATACGACGTACACGAGGAACTGGGAAAGTAAGATGTTTATCTACGACTTATTATATTGAACTATGAATACCTAATCTTCGTAGATATCTTTGTTATACAAATGAATTGTTCGACTTTCATGGTCAAGCACTCACAGCTTTAGGATGTATGAACAGAGTTTTGAATGCAGAAGGCAAGCAATTCTATCGACATTTGCCACCGAACAACGTTCGTAATTTGCGGCAGAAAAGCCACTTAGAAAGAACACTCCAGTTAACGCAATTCCTACATCTGTAGCAATAATTTCTAAGCTAGATGCTTTATTAAGCCACACGGAGGACAGGGGATTTGTTTGAAGCCAGTATCTATGACATCTGACAAAGTTCACTTTTACCGTAGAAAAGCCACTGATATTTGATACATTATTTTATGTAAAACAGATTGAGGGGTACCAACTTCCAAAAATAACTAGAAAGCTAAAAATGCTTGGAAGTCGGTTTACATATTCTTAATTAAAAAATCATTACATTTAGGGTTGGGATTTCTGCTATTTACTTATTTAACAATTATTCGCCGAAGGCGAAGTGAATATCGGGGAATATCTACCGAGACGCGAGTCTTCGAGCGGCCAGGTAAATATTCCCCGATGTTCACTGAGGCTGAGGTGATCCTTTCAAAAAAAGAAAAAAAAGAAGATAAAAGAATTTTTTTCCGGTAACAGTAACAAAGCGGCTGGCCTCCATTTTGGATTATCGCTCGAGATGATTTTCTATGATCACCTGTGTATTTTTACTAAAAACTTTTATAAACTTATAAACTACCTTTGGTGGGCAGTCGAAGTTTTGGCAATTTAAAAAAGTGTGAATCAATTAAACTATCCTATGTTTGTTATGAAATAATAAGTGATCCAGAAGAGCTTTACTAAATCATGGTCCATGCAAGCTTGGGCCGTAATGTTTATGGTCTTTTATGCTGCTCACAGAATTCTTGTTTTGAAGCCGTGTCAGTATAAAGTTATAGTCTGATAGTCGTGATCATCGAATTATTTACGTAAGTTTTCGAGCCTGCACTGAAAGCTATTCGCTTCCTATATCTAAATTAAGATAGGATAGTTAAGATTTGAACAACTTTTTTAATATACTTGATGCTGTCTAAAGAACAAAATTTAACTGCCGTACAAGTAGCCTATTAGAGCCCACGTATGGCAGTTAGTATTTCAGCAAGAGCCTCGCATAGTGTGGACAGTGTAAAAACAAAATGCTTGGACTGCATAGATCTCGGCTTCAATCAAATCAATTATCTGTCCTCCCAATGGCTTAATAAAACATTCAAGTTCGAAATGCCGACTATAAATGTAAGACGTTTTAGAAACTCAGTGTTTTCTCGATGTATTTAGATGAGCCAAGTGCCATTCAGCGAGGGCAACTTCTTACAGTTATCAAATGGAAGCGAAAGCCACGATCAATCCTTGCTCTGCCTTTAAACTACTATTCATACATCCAAAAGTTCTCTAGCGTTTGACCTTAGTTAGCAAGATGAATTTTTTTCTATTGTTAAGATATCTATCAAATCTTCGTGATCACTCGAACATTTGTAATAAATTTCTTAGCAAATTCTCCGAAGCTACACCCGATAGTCTCATTTTGTTGCTACGCTCATCGCAATACCGCTGGTTTGTCGTTTTGGCATGCTCAACTATACGATGACAGCTACTACCTCTTTATCAGCCCAGCCATTTCGCGACCACTTATTTTTTTCACATGTAATTGTTACCATTCTTCAAAGTTCAGTCGAATGTTATCAGGGGAGTGCATCTAGTGATAAATTAAGCGCTTCAATCAGACTGCCAGCTAGGCTAAATATAGCTCGTGCCCTGAGTATTTGTGACGTCATTGGTATATGCTGCATACATCAAATGTCGTTTTTTAGATCACGAGGATTTGAGCTCGATCCTTGTATGATGCAATCCTGCTGTTGAATCCACTTTTTTTCACAAAGAGCAAAAATTTTAACCAATAAAAGATCATTGGTAAGTAAAGCCGACGAAGAAGGCATGCAGATGGTGCTGTTTAAACCACGTCATAACTAACAAGCAATCAGCACGAGAGTTGGCCTAGTTGGCAGTCTGATGGAACCAAAATTTATTGAAAGATAGCACTGTCTTATTAAGTTCCTACTGCAAGACCTGTTAGTCTGCTACCGACTTCGGCGACTTATTGTTTGCTTTATATAAATAAAAAAAGTTTACTGTACTATTGTAGGGGCAAGTTTGGCGTTGTTAGGAGAGTAACAAGTAAATCTTCAAAAGATGTGTACGCTGCAAAGTATATCAAGACTTCCCCCTCGGCTGCGGGTTCGTCACGTGATGAAGTGCTCAGAGAAATCGATATCATGAGTCGATTAAATCACAAGCGGCTTGTTGGCTTGCTAGACGCTTACGAGATTGGTAAAATGATTATCATGATAATGGAGTTGTAAGTTTCACACAACCTCTTATTATCTGAACTGCCTTTTCAAAGCTTTTTCAACTTATAACGAAGCCCACCGCTGAAAGGGGTTGTGTAGATACCAAAGGTTTCACTGCTACAAAAACTATAGGGATATGTGAATGATATTCAGAACTATCGCCATGATAGCTTCTACTGGTTTTTCGTTTGTGGCGTATTTCCACATGATCGGATGGTGCCATCAGGCTCTGACATGCAACAAACCATTTTATTAAAAAACTGCTTTTTATTTTGGACCTGATCACAAAAGTCTTGTTTTTCATGCAGCCTATTGACGTCATGTACTGATATGCTCTAAAAAGCCCCTTTAATGTTGAGCCGTAACGTAAGATGCGCCAAACTGTGAAGTCAAAAATTAATGATACACATTGTAGGATGCAGAATTTTGAAAAGAGAGGGCATCATTGATGGCTAAAGATAGCTAAGCATCATTTTTAGATACGGCTTCTTAAATATATAAGCCAAATAATCTATAACCATTTTATTATGGAATATAAAATTTAGCCAAACCAAATTTAAAATTTAATCGTTTCAGTTAATCCAAATTATGGGCTTAGTTTGTAGGAAATATGTCTTCCAATTCCTTAAGGGGGTCATTTTTCCCCATACTTTCACTTTGTTTCTCTTTTTTCTTCTATTGTTATCAATATCACCTTATACCATTTCCCCATTCGTCTTCTTCACATCTGATTTGTTCTCTTTTTCAGCGTATCGGGTGGTGAGCTGTTCGAGCGAGTAGTTGACGAGGACTGTTTGACAGAGAAAGAAGCTGCATATTATATGCATCAGATTCTTGAGGGACTTCAGCACATGCATGTCAAGAATATACTCCATCTGGACCTCAAGGTATTTTCCTTTTCTTATTAAGAGCGAAAGGAAAACTCTTTGGAGAGGCAGCAATACAATGGCTCTCGTGGCAGGGGCGGATCCTTCCAGGAATTTTTGAGAGGGGGATCCCAACCATAGAAGGTGTATCCAGACGTATAAAACATACAAACGTTGTTCAAACCTGTGGCAAAACTAACTTTTAGAGTAAAACAATCCATTAAATATCACGAGAAATAAGATTCACTGTATCAAATCCCAAGGGTTAACCACTAAATATTTGTGTGTGACGAGAATATTGAAAAACGTTCTACCTTTTTTCTAAGCCAGAAAATATCGTTTGCGTTAGCAAGGATAGTTGGGAGATCAAACTGATTGACTTTGGTCTTGCTCAAGAGTTGATTCCAGGTACCAAGATGAAGGCCATGAAAGGAACACCGGAGTTTATGGGTAAGGTCATGCCCGAGTCAAAAATTAGTTTACTAGTGAATATGTATAGGAAATCGCACGATCTACAAGGCGAATCAAATTTAAGAACTTTCAAAACATCACCACTATCTATTAATGCCGAATTCTACGAGGCAATTACTTGTTTACAATACACTCAACAAACTTAAATAGGACTCAGAATAGAGTAGTTTTGTGTGTATCATAAACTATGAAATTACTTTTTTATTCAGCTCCAGAAACTGTTAACTTCGATCCAGTTTCCAAACCTGCAGATATGTGGTGAGTATATTTTAAGAATCGTTTAACGTCTAGTTTGATCTACTCTGAGGTTCGGCCGCTGTTTGATTCTATATCATAACACTGTGGTATTCAGTCTTTGGGATTCTCCAGTGTTCCTAGCTACCTCTATAATTAGATTAAAATTGAACATGTGAGCTGATATTTTAAATCATGAATAGAATAGTTATAGTCGTAGTATGTGTGTTAAACAGTTATAGCACTTCTGTCTCCTACGCAGTCGCTACTGCGTGACGACACTTATGGTGGCTGCGTGGGAGACCAAATTGGAAACCCGTCTCCATACTGAATTTGCCCACATATAGTATAAAGACAATTTTTGTTTGTTACAGGAGTGTTGGTGTTATTGCGTATATTCTGTAAGTAAAGCAAATCTTAAACTATTATAATGGACTTAGCAATTTGTTTAAGCACAACTGCGGGTGATAAAGCACAGTGTGATAGAATATCAGCTAGAAGGGCGAGAGTAATGATAATTGATTCAAAGTGACGGTTGTGTTATTAACTATGATATAATTAAGTGTGTTTGAACTCCATTATATGCCATTACAATTTAGAGCATTTTAAAAATAGCTAGAGAATCTAACCAGAAAACTGGTTCACTTAATTCCAAGCATCATACAAGACTATCGAAAAAGATTTTTACTGTAGCTCTAAAAGTGTATTAATTGCCTTTCGTAATTTCAATGAAAATAAATTGTATTGAGTAGCTGGCGGATAACAAGCAAGTTTCGTCTACCGCCCTAGAAGTCTCTGCAGAACCCGGCTATTCTTTTCAATTATTTCATTTTCTAAGTGGCTTAAGTCATAATGTAATTATTAAACTACTTTTCCTGTTTGCTACCTTTCAAGTCTGAGTGGTCTTTCTCCCTTTATGGGGGACGATAATAACGAAACCCTATCAAACGTGAACGCAGCCGAGTGGGACTTCGATGACGAGGCATTCGACGTTATTTCAGATGAAGCTAAGGAATTCATTTCACAACTGCTGATTAAGGATCCAAAGTATGTAAAGGTTGATGCTAAGCAATTCTGATTCCTTTTAAAGTGTAGTTTGATATTATTATCAAGCAAGGGTGACAAATGGACAGCCGTTAATTAAATAGGAGGAATAGCAATTACGAGTATTTTTATTGCACTTCTTTCAGGCAGCAATTCCGGAGTACAAATCATCGTTGATATGTGGTATATATATATATTTACTATTGGCAAACTCACAATCTTTTAATTTATTACTCTATTTTCAAGGAAGAGGAACACTGTCGAGTCCTGCCTGGAACACGAATGGATGAAGGTAAATGAATACGACGAATACTTTAATCATTGTTAAGTGAGGGAAATGATCTCGTCCTATTAACTACATGCTTTATTTCACTATTCAAGACGATGATTAACTGATTGACAAAAAGGTATTCGATAATATCTTGTTAAATCTTTTCATTGTTTTCCAGAAAAGTGAATCTGCAAATGCAGTAAAAATTGACACCAAAAAGCTGAAGCAATTTTTGGCAAAGAGAAGATGGCAGGTATGGTACTAGCTGTTGAGCGCCAGGCTCATGCAGGAAGTAATGGACGTTACTGCCAGTTACTATCATAATTTTCAAGCTTAGCCGGTAAAGCATCTGGAGTCGGTACAAATCCGAAAGTCGTGGGCTTAGGCTCCAAAAATGGACGTTATATTGTTATACACAGGGCAATTTATATAAGGAGCACACAAAAACCGTAGCATAACTAATAAACAGCTACTACAACACAGCTATTCAGTTCACAAGTCCTTCCTGATGAAGTAAACTAGCATTAAGTAACTGGATGACATGAATCCAATTGGGTAGCCCTAATGATAATAATAACTGGTTTTGATATCCCATGGACTGCCCCTAGCTCCAGTGCCACCCTACTTTAATAAAAGTGATCATATCTTATTGTTTATTTTCTTAAGAAATCTGTTAACGCTTTGGTAGCAGTGCGACGTTTATCTTCGATGTCCAATTTACTTGGGATTAACAAATCACGCCCATCCATCGCGCCAATGTTGGCCAATCTGTCAGCCGCCGAAGAAGGAGAAGAAGAAAAAGAAGAAGATGAGAGTGAGAAGGAAGAAAAGTCTAAAAGTGACAAGAAAGAAAATGATCTCCGTAAAGTGAAAGTAAAACAAAATGACTCCAATAAACCTGTTCAAGTTAATGGCACGTCGATCGTAGACCAAACAAGCAGAGCCCACAAAAACAATCACTTTCAAAGTAAGAATAGATCATTACATGTATATTAAAGTTATATGTTAAACAACGCGTTATTGAATTCCTGGGTTTCCTTTTTTACATTCTACCACAGTAAAGTCACATTAAGATAGTATACCATGCTTTCTCCAAAATTTTAAATGATTGCGATTTTAGCTAATTATGGCTGACTTTAAATCAATCATTCATCCATTCGTTCGTTCGTTCATCCATTGATTACTTTATTCCCTGAAAGCGGTTAGTTTTTTGTTCTAAATAGAAAAAAAAATTGATGTTGCGTATTAATCTCAGATAAACTCCTTTGCTACAGAAAAACCAGCATTCATCAAAGAACTTGATGACGTCACAGTCAGTGAAGGTGACTCAGTTACCATGGAGGTAACTATTAATGGAGATGCCAGAAGTGATGTTGAGTGGTATTTTGACGGTGGTGAGGTGAACGAGAGAGAAGGTGTGACGATAGTGAACCACGGCGATGGTACTCATGCAATCATCATCGATGAGTGTGAGGAGGAAGACACAGGAGAGTATAGCTGTGTCTTTGAAGCCGATGCTGGCAAAGCTATAACAAGAGGATATCTTACAGTGGAAGGTAGTATTGCAAAAAAATATTCACCATAATACACCAGCTTCGAATTCGATGGATACCGCTGTCGTGCATGTTTAGCGTCGTTTCAAAGTCAGCTTCTCACAGATAACACCATTTAAAGTCAGTGGGATTTCAAAAAATTGGTATTGCTCAACTTGGCCTATTTCGATATTCTAGTTTTGCGATTAAGCTTAAAGCTATCCGAGTTGAGAAGCTCCTGGGGTAATCAAAGAATAATTGCTTGAACACTACAAGTACTTAACCATAGTTATTCAAAACTGGAGCAGGAACGTTCAAACGTTTTCATAAACGAGACCAACTCTTTGCAAATGAATCTGTAGTCATATGGCACAGCGGTATTTACCGAGTATGAAAAAGGATAACACTGTTACATTACACAACTCTCTAAATTTTCGTTGCCGTGCTGCGTGTTTACCTTGAATGTTAGAAATTTTATAACCCTTTGTTACCTTGTTAAACTTCCAGTCGAATCGAATGAAGAAAGTGGTGCAGATATCGACCCTCCAGTCTTTAACAAAGAACTAACAGACATGACAGCAAAAGAGGGCGAAACAGCGACAATGGAGGTGGACGTGAGTGGAGAGGATTACCAGCTAGAATGGTTCAAGAACGCTGTGGACATTGTAGAAGGAGGGAGGTTATTTTTCACAACGAATGGAGAAGGTAAACACGCTCTAGTGATTACAAATGTGGAAGACGATGACACTGGTGAATACTGCTGTGTTGCACAAAATGATGGCGGGAGGAACACTTGTGCTGGCTACTTTATGGTGGCAGGTGAGTTACAAAAAAAAAAATTCTCACGTTCATAAGAAACGAGCGTGCGTGTTTGCAGTAGTGAATATGGATACTTAACTTTCTTGAATGGCTTTTTTGAAAATTGGCTTCTTATTTTGCGCGCGAAAGTTGAGGGCGAAGATGATGAAGATGAAGAGGACGAAAGCGAGGAAGAAACAGATGAAGAGTTGTATGAAGAAAAAGATATTGAGATTAAGAAAGAATACATTGAGGACTTCTACGCCATTGAAGAAGAAATTGGAAGGTAAATTAAAGAAAGTTCACTGTAATATTATACCTATACTATTAGAAGAATTTATGAAAAAGATTTCCTCTTACAAGTAATATATACAGTATGAGTGGCCGTGTTGTATACAATACGGGCACGAATATAATATATTGGTTTAAAACAAACGTCTATGTTAGTTTCTTATGCAGCTAAACATGATTCTGTATCAGAATTATAAAACTCTTCACGGTCATGATTTTTATTGCGTTTTTCGGGAATTATTAATGAGTTTATTAAGTTCAATTCCAATAGAGTGCAAACAATTAATCCATGAAACACTAATTATTAAATAGTACAAAATAGTGCTAGCTAAACAATAGAAAACAATGGAATTTGCAAGAAATTGTGCAATTTAGTATTACTAAAGTTTCACGGATTTACTGTGGTCACTCTACTGATTTTAGAAATAGAAAATAAAGGCGAGATACTCAAGATACTGGTGTATCAACACGTATCAGAAGAAGAATCATTTAGCAAACTATTACGTCACCGGTTATAAAATTGAATCGAGGTCTTCTATGTTATTATCTTTTAAATGAAACCAAAATTATATATCGCTTTACCAAAAAAAAGTCAAAAGATTTGGGGAATATTCAAAGTGTGGTCAAAATTATTATTTTTATTCATTTTGTGCTTGTTAATTTTTTTTAACAAAGTTTCTTTTTATCTACTCTTATGCAAATTCAATATGAAAAAATATAGTCCCGTACAGAATTTGATTGAGGATTTTCCCCTTTTAAGTTTCAAAATGTATATAGTGCAGTGCCTCAATAAAATTTAAAGGATTTTTCAGTTGTCACGTCGAACGTTCAATAGTCATTCCAAGCGGGTTGAGGAGAAAACTGGGTCTAGACATTTCAGTACATTGTGGGACGGTTTTAGGAAACTACTTTATTCGTCCATTTTTTCCTCTAAAACATCCCCACAATTGCACGGAATTTATTCAAACAAAGAAGAGATGGACAAAAGGCTCTAATTGTTCATCCTGGAGGTAATTGAGTTAAGATAACCAAAAGTTTTCATGTGATCGTTCACTTATCAATCAACGCGACAATCCTACTCACCGCGAGGTCGTTTCCAATACTTCTGTGAACTTCGGAAATGCGAGGTATCTTTATGGAAGCTTTTTAAAACTTATTGTGCGTATTTGTTTCAGGGGAAGATTTGGTATTGCAAGAAAATGCGTGCACATTAGTACCGGTATTCATTTCGTTGCCAAGTTCATCAAAGCACGGCCCAGCCAAAAGGACGAATTCAAACGAGAGATTGACGTCATGAACACATTACGTCATCCTAGCTTGTGTCGCTTGCGAGAAGCTTTTGAAAAACYACGGGAACTGGTTATTGTAATGGAATAGTGAGTATCAAGAATTTTTTTGGAAGAGTTAATTTGTGTTTTGTACCAGTTTTTTAAGAGTTTCTTGGCCCTCGTAAAAACCCGTACAAACCCGTAAAGCTCTGCATGAGTTCTCTTCACCTCAGTTAGTTGTTTCCAGAAACCTTTACGTAACTAGAGTATTGTACAATATGTACCTAATGAAAATAGTGTACTTTGCTTCCAAGTAGGTTAACTGATATTAATGTGACCGATATGGGCCGGGGAGAGGGGGAGAAAGGACTGCCTGCTACAATATCCTTGTTCTTGGTTTTCACCACGTCATCAAAAATGTTGCCAAGGTTTATATAAAAAAGGGGTTTGTATTAAATTAAAGAGTAGCCAAAACTTGATATCTCAGCCAAAATCCTGCTAAAAGAAGTTTTCGATACGACGATAATACAAGCGATTGATTATGCCCATAATCTAGTTGAAATGTATTGGTCCGCCATCTTGGTATCCCATTGAGGGACACTAATATGGCGGCCAAATCAATAACGTTAAAAATAATGTTTATATTGCAAAAACTTCAATTTTTCAATAACAGTAATCATAAAAATAAAGTTACCAATCATCTAGTAAGTTAATAACGTATTTTTTATAGTATTGATAGTAACTCCATCAAATTGTTTGTTTAACTCAACGACGAAGACTTGATAACATGTGGTGGTTATGAAAGCAGTTCAAACGAACAACATTATTACAGCCAGAAAACCCCTCTGCAAATGGAAAGATTGTTGCTAACGCTGTGTCCAATTACTAAGGTTATTGATCGCAGATCAATAATTGAGACTGGTGTCTCGTCCAATTAAATTCATCAACGCCTTCTGATAACTTATAGAATAGATAAAAAGGGGGAAACTAGAACAGCCATTCATTTCCCCTTCCCTTCAACCTTTTAGCTCCTCAGACCTCTTCCATCGCCTCACACAGAGGCTATTTTCGGAAGTTATCTTGATTCGTTTATTGGCTCTGCCTAAAGATGACTGTATCTGGTTGTTTTATACAGCAATCGCGGAGGAGATTTATTGCAGCGCATCAGTGAATCCCCCATGTCAGAACCAGACAGTGTCGAGATCCTGCGGCAATTATTAGAAGCTCTGAACTACATGCATGGTAACAAATTCATGCATCTGGATGTCAAGGTATATTCATGCTGCGATAACACCGACTAGGGAAGTCAGGATGGCGGAGTAGTAAAACGCACGCCTCTCACCTCTGAGGTCGAATCACAGTTGGCCCATGTGAGCGGATTTGGCTGGTTCTCTTTCTGGTTCCAAAGGTTTTTTCCCGGTTATCCACTTTTCCACTCTACCAACTCTGTTGGACTGAATAGTCCCTAACCCCACCCCCCCA